TGGGGTGGGGGCGGTCCCGGGCTATCATGTCTATTAACAAACTCAGATATTGAGGCTGTGGTCCCACGGTCCACCCAGAGCCGAAGTGCCGAGACTTGCAATCCAGTGCCTATTCCTATGCAACTCTGTGGCTGTGGTGCAATGATCTTTTCGGTGGAGCCGGGATCCTGGCAGTCACAAGACGTGGGACAACTTTCATCCAAAACTCCCTGCAACCTCACAATCTACGCTTGCTCTCGCACACTCAAATTCGCTGACGTTTCTCCGTTTCCAAAACGCCCACTGGGTGGGCCCTTGTGAGCTGCTGAGATCTGTGGGGCGAGGCCTGAGTGGTCCGGTCTTAGTCTCCCTAGGTCCCGTGGCTGCTGTAAACCCAAGCAGGAAGCTAGCGGACCCCTGGCGAAGCTTAGTCCAGTCCTGGCTGCGGGAGAAGGGGTGTCAGTTCCCGCAGGCCACTCCCAGTTCAAGTCCCCGAAGCCGTGGCCCCTTGCCAGGCGTCTTCAGTTGCATCTGCAGCAGCCAGGGCCTCTCCGGGTGTCCGCCATTCGGCTGTCTGTAAACGTTCAGACGTTCGTGCTTCTGGACCGCGGGGTCCAGCACTGTCCCCGGATTTTCAGGGGGCCCGGACTCCACCCAATTCAATGACCCTTTCCCCACACTCACATCCATAGGGGGACGTGTCCAGCTGCAGCCAGAGGCCCTGGCCTTTGTGCGTCTTCCCGTGTCCCCAGCCACCGAGCACATCCACCAGGCTCCTAGGTGAAAATGGCTGAGCTAGCGGGTGGTGATGCTGGGGAGGGGCGCAGAGGGCAGCCCTTCACTTGGTAAGGGGATCCCGCAGTTTTCCTGCCCTCCTGCTCCCAGAAGGAGTGGTGTGGAGCAAGGCGGAGAGCGCCGCAGGTCTCATGCTGCAGGAGCGCTTTCAGGGCAGCAGCCTGAGTCCTGCCCCATTCCGGCCAAGGTGGCAGCGCAGAGTTGGGGGTAGGGGTGAGGCCTGAAGAGGGTTTTAGACCCGCGGGCGCAAGGGACCGCTTCGGGTGAGCAGAGACCAGCACCACGCATTCTTTGGGTGACGCTGGCAGACGGCCATTCCAGGCTCTATCCAGACCGGTTGTTGAAATCGCCTCGGGTTTGATCTGGGAATCACGCCCGCACATTTGAATGTGCGAGTGCAAGCGTAGACAGTGAGGTTGCAGGGAGTTTGGGTGAGAGTTGCCACACCTCTTGTGACTGCCGGGATCCGGGTCCTACCGAAAAGGCCATGGCACCGTGGCTGCTGGGTGCCATTAGAGCCACGACAGGGAGGCGACCTGTTCCGGCTGCCTCCTGCCGGTGGTTGGTGCGTTCTTAACAAATATAAAACAAAAGGATCCCCCATCGCTACTCCTACTAGCCGTGCACGCAGAGGTGTGGGGCGGCCTGCACGGCTGTACGGTCTGGGTGGAAGCCTAGCTAGCTGTGTCTGCAGTGAGGTGTGCGGGATGCCTGTGGTGTGCACACGCCTGTTATCCCTCAGCCTTATTTGTGCTGTGTGTAGCATGAAGCAGCCTCCATTTTGAGTCGGGGGATACAGCAAGGTCGGCCTTCCTGGCACACTGACCCGCATTTCACAGAGGAAGCCTGAAACTTGCGTGATTGGTTGAGCGAGGGTTCCTGAAGGGGATTGGGGGAGGCCGCACATGTGGTATGCAAGGTGTCCCGGATTTTCCTTTCATCAGCCTGTTCTTGACCTGCTTGGCTGCTCACCTCCCAACGCTGTTGGGCCCAGGGCCCAAAGGAGACCATGTTCTCTACAGGGTGAGGTGTTGGGGGAGGCGTCTGAGGAAAGAAGCCCACTCCCAGAAGTGGTTTGTGGGTCACTTCAGAGCTTCCCCCCTTTCATTAAATGGAATATTTATGAAGATCCTGCTGGGTGTTTGCAGTTCTATAGACAGCACCTCTGACCCTTAGCACAGCCCTTCAAGGTAAAGAGCTATGGGTTTCTTTGTACAGATGAGGAAACTTTGGCAGAGAGGCAAAAAAAAACCTGGTTCAAATTCAAAGGCTCTAAGGTCGGTATACCAAATCCATGTTACTGAATTCCAGTGCCCAAGCTTTCCTCTTACTCCCCTGTGCCATGGGATGCCACCAACAGATCTGCTATCTTGGGGTGGGGCCCTCAGGGGAGCAAGTTCAGAGTGCAAAAAGTCAGGAAGAAAGGCAAAGACCCAAAGGGAGTGGGGGTCTTTTCCAGATTCCTTAGCCCACCAGCAACCTGACAGCTGCGATGGCAAATGCCTCCCTTCCACCTTTTTATGATTTTTGTCCAAAGATACTTAGGGAGGATGTGTCCCTAGAGGTCAAGGGCAAAATGTGCTCTGTGCTTGGAGCATACTGGAGGGACATTCATTCTGGGGCTAAGGCACTCCAAATTTTCCTTCACCAATGCTGGGCCTTTCATCTGCCAGAGCCTCTGCCCTGGGCCCCTGGTGCAGCCTGGAGTGACGCAGGTGAATCTGGCTGGGAGGGATTAGTGATAAATGACATCCTGGGTATCTCAGACCTATATTAACCTCCTTGTCATTAAATGGGAAAGGGCAAACGGATTTATGAGGTCTCTGTTTACCTTTTATTTCTTTTAGGTGCATAAATACACCCTCTATGCTGTATTTCCATTATATTGCACAAATGTTATGGCATCACTGTATGTGCATGCATTTATAAAAGTACACCCCCTGACAATGCACACAAGTCTATCTCTACCTTTTTGTGGATTGCTCATAGCATGGGTGGCCTGCACCCTACAAGGTGGAGGGTTGCTTTTGACTCCTCCCTTTGATGCATCAACACATGAGAGTTATTTAACTGATATCTATACATAAAATGTATTTGTTCTACATGCAGAGCTCATAGAGTGGAAGGGATGGTAGGTGGACATAGAACTCACAATTGTCCAGGCAGAAGGAAATACCCACCCATAGATGGGGTGTGAGGTGATGAGTGTCACAGGCAGGGATTTGAGGTGCTTGATCTGTTAGTATGGGTTTAGGAGGCTGATTTCTCCATTTCTGGAAGCCCTCCAAGCTGGCTGCTAATGCCTTGCATCCAGGACACCCCACAGTCTATGGAATGGGATCTAATTTACTCCCAGGGGTCCAACAGATCCACACACCTGCTGGAATCCCTACTGAAGGGGTATCACCCCCATGACTTTTCCTGGAACTCAACCTGCCCCCAGAACAGCACTGGGCACCCCATGTCTATGTAAACCACACCTGGTACCAGGAATGTTTTCCAAGACCAGGGTCTCCAAGTCTGTGTCGAAGACAATTATCAGTCCACTTCATACTAGGCTGCATCCAAGCTCTATCCTAGCTCTGTCTCCTGTTTTTGAGTAAGGATAACCTAACAGTTGTGGGGAGGCTGTATGCAACCAGGTCAAGGTGTCCCAGTCTGTGTGTGCCCAGGTCAGATCAGACAAACTAGGGATCCTGGCGCTGGAGCGACCTCTAGCCGGCATCAGGCTGGTTCCCCTTCCCCCAGCTCCAGGTGGTAGCCGAGGAAATTCCCCAGGTCCCGCAGCTGTTAGGACGGGCCCTTAAGATAGAAGAGACTGGAAAAGAGGGAGGAAGGCGGGCGAGAGAGTTGGAAAAGGAGGCCAGAGAAACCGTTACCCGCGAGTGGCCTCTTCTGGGCGCTCGTCCCCCTGGTTCCAGGCTCGGGGATGCTGGGGGAAACAGACCTTAGGCTCTGGCGGAGGCCTAGAAACCCGCTGAGAGCAAGACCCCGGAAACCCCTTTTTCCTCTCATCTCGCTGGGCGAGGCCCGGATCCGGCGAAAGCCGCGCCTAGAGCTCTTGACGCTGGCCTAGGGGACCAGAATAGCCTCATTCTCGCGGGGAGAAGGCCAGGGAGAGCTGGGGGGGGGGGCGGGGTACTTGGCCGCAATCTAGAGGCGCTTGCAGGAAGACAGCGCTGAGAAGGCGAGCTCGGCGGAGAGACATGGCCAGGAAAGAAGAAAGGAGGACGAAGAGCGAGGGAGAAAGGGGCGATGCGAAAGGCCAGGTCGGGAGAAGGCCGCATCGACAGCCGGCTGGGCCCAGGCGCCGCGAGGAAGTGGGTACCGAGAGAGCGAAGCATAGGCAGGCGAGAGCCGCGTGAGCCACCCACCGCGTCCCGTGGGTGAGAGCAACCCGTGCGGTCTGCGTCGCTGGGAATGCGAAACAAAGCAGGGCCGGAGGCGGGGAAGCGCCTCGGCCGCTGAGCGGATCCCGGGCTTTTCCCCTCGGCGGTTCCGGACTCTGGTCCTTCCTCATCATCACCCACGGAGCGCTCATGACGCTTTTCTCTGCACCTGCCTTGAGGGACGCGGGACGGAGGTCCGACTCTCCGCTTCCCGAACTCCCACCTCTGTCCCTGCCACAGTAACCCGCCGGGATGAAGGGTGAGGGGCCTTTACCGAGAGGCTGAGAATTGGAAGGTAGTGAAACGGGGATCGCTTCGGTCCCATTCGCTGCTTTGTCCCCTGCACTCAGCTCAAAATAATAGACCCTCAAAATAATATTTACTGAATGAATGAGTTAATGATGACTGACTAAATTAATATATAAATTTGGAGGTGGAGATTGCAGAAAGGTCGGAGACCCCAGTAAGGGAAGGGTGGGGGTCCAGGGCCGCGAGGTGTCCTCTTACCTCGCACCAGAATGCGGCGGCAGTGGTCTGTCTCGCCAAGCCCCGGGTGCCCGTCGCTGTCGGCGCCGCTCTCCCTGGATCCCGCAGGACTGGAGGCGGAGGTCCCGGCAATTTCCCCTGGGCTGAGGCCGCCGGCATCTGCGCTCAAGTCTTCCGCTTCGCCGCGGTCCGCGCCGCGACCGCCGCGCGACTCCCGGCGTGCGGGGCCACGGTCTCGCTCCGCGCCCCCATCGCCCATGCCGGCAGCCACCGCTGCCTGAGCCACCGCCTGGCCAGCCTGGGCTGGCGGAGCCCGCGACTCCCCGCCCCTCGCGCCCCCTGCCCGACTCCTCCTCCTCCCCCCGCCGGCTGCTCCACCCCTTTCTGCTGATTGGACCCAAGTCGCGGGTCTACTACTCCTAGCCCTGCACTAGGGAAACGCTGGCGCAAGTGCGGGGGCGCCGGGGCCCCACGAGTCCAGCCCCAGTCCCAGCCAGCGGAGGGAGGCTGGGGCGGCCCGGGGTACTGAGGACTGCCCTACATCTTTTGAAGTTTATCAACTCCCTCCCTCAACCGCCAGCCTGCGCCTCTCCCCACTCTCTGCGTCCCTAGAGAATCGCAGCCTCTGCGTTCCGGCTCTTTCAGCGGGATTAGTGACCAAAATGCTCCATGAAGGAGATTCCGGCGAGACCGAGCAGAAAACTGGAGGTTGGCCTTGCTCGGGCGCTTGGCAAGGTGGGGGGCTGTTGGCGGGGGCTCAAACCTGGGGTTCAGCGCTCCACCCTCGCTCCCAGATTCACACCTGCAGCCACCCACACTCTTGAATTCAGACCGCAGGCAGCTCTTGGCTCCAAGGCCAAGAATGTTGAAAAGGAGCCGGAGAGAGTGAAGCTAGGGGACTGATGGGATGACCCGCATTCACCCGAGAAAAGAAAACGGACGTGCAGATAGATGACCAGGTCCAGGAGCCGAGAGGGTCGAGTGTGGCTGAGACTGATAAGCAGCAAACGCCTGGTTTCCCGGCGGCTCTGAGGCCTTCGCACAGGGAACTGCACCCCCAGACAGCGATTGAAGGTGGGCATTTCCTTGTGTCACGCCCCGCACACGTTGAACCCCCTCACCCTTAGTCCCAGGTCCCAGGTCTCGCCTTCGCTGGGTTAGGGGGAGGCGAGGACCGAGGTGAGTGCGGCTGGAGGCCCGGCCGGCCGTGGAGCTGAGCAGTGGGGGTCCCTGGGTATTGCTCAGCCCTCCTAAGCGTTCAGGCCCCCAGCACTTTCTGAGGAGCCCATGATTCTCCTTTGACAGCGACAGGAGAGGCCAGGCCCAGATTTCTCTTCCTTTGACTCAGAAAGGAACTTGGAAGAAAGGTTGAGAGAGCCCAGCGAGGATGTGTGTGCAAACGTGTGTGCGCAGTTTTTCTCCTTCCTGGCTCTCTCAAGTTTAATTATTTTTATTATTCAAGTAAGACACGTCTAGTATGGAAAACGTCTAAGCAGAAAGCAAACACTCCGTTAGAAACGTCGCGGCCCCTAAACTTTGCTCTTCTTGCCACACGCAGCAAGGCCTGGGTTTCTGTTCAAAAATATTACTACTAATGGAACAGCGCCTGCTGAACCCTGCCGGGTTTTGTTTGTTTTCGCCCTTTAAGATTTTCATTTCACAAATGAGGTTATTCTGTGTCGGTAACTCAGATCGCGGTCCTAGTGTCCCCTTCTGAGGTCAATAGATTGGCTTCCCGGCTCACGAACACTCACGGTGAGGGACATTCCACCGCGAGGCCTCCGGTAGAGCCCCGCGGAGCCAGGACCTGGAAATGGGGTCGCCTCCCCTTCCCTGGAAGCAGGGAAGCCGGACAGGGAGTGCCGGAGGGTGCTGCAGGTTAATTCTTGGGGAGTTACCAGTTCCCTTTCTCCCGCGCCCTTCTTTCTGCTCAGTCTCTCTGGGCGGGATGGGAGTGGGCGACCCGCAGGAGTCCCGACGCTCCCTTCCTCCGCAGGCCTGGGAAGTGGGGCCTCGGCCCTGGTGACTGTGAGCCGGGATCCAGTGGACTCTGGCCCGGTGGAGACCCGGACCAGGTGGGTCTCCAACCCCAGGCCACCTCGTGCCCCTCGGCTGGGGCACACTGCCAGGGTGGCCCAGCTCCCCGCCCAGGAGATGGGTCGTGCGGGGCCATCAGGCTACCTCTTGCGACTGCTAGGTGAGGAAGGCTGGTGCACCTGTAACCAGGTACAGTCAAATGGCAGGAATGTGTAGGGTCGGTCTCGTTGAACATGTGCATGGGAGCGAGTGTGCGTGCACGCATGTTGGGATGTCATTTGACGCTGGGGAACCCCCCTGCCCAGGGTAATCTGGACGCAGAGCTCTAGACGTCCTGAGATCGCCTGGCACGAATTCGCTAGGATCCGGGATCCCTTGTCTGGAAGCTGGTGGTGAAGGCCAAGGTACTGTGCCTGCTGCCCTTGCTCCCACTATATCACTACCATCTCAACGCGGTCAAGATCCTAGGGACCCGGAGAATGTCCTCTGCCTCTCTATGTCCCCTTCCTTTTTGTAAAGCGATTCAAGAACCTTAGCATTGGGGATATAGGGGATCCCAACCTATAGGGGACAGGGGAACCACCTTAATTATTTTCTCAGTGGCTCTGGCCCCCTCTGCAACTCCAGTGTAGACAAACCCCAGGTTTTTTTCTGGCACTTTCTGGGTCCCAAAGGGCCACTACAGCTTGAGGCCCAGCTGGGATCCTTGCTATGTCTCCTCCATGGCCTCTGCAGGTCCTAGGGAACTAGTGGGCTTCAATTTGCCCAACCAGAAGGTCTGGGCACAGGGAGTTATTTCCTCCTGGGCTAGAATCAGGTGACTCTTCTACAAGGGGTTCCCCATGGTGGCACACGTCCTCCACTCACAGCAGAAAAAGTGGGGAGAGAGCAAGTCAGGAAGGGGTGCTACCAACCTGAGCTCCAGTCAGATGCTCCTAAGACTAGGTCTCCTGAGGGTTTCTACAAGGATCAGCCTGAGTCAGGGAAAGCGGCTGTCCTCCCTCTGGCCTCACCTTGCTCAGCCCCATCTGACACTGTCTAAGTCCTCCAGGGACCCTCTAGTCCCTCCCCACTCACCTTCTGCGCACCTTTTGGCGGCTCAGTGGGTGGGACTGACTTCCCAAGCCCAGACGTTGCTGAGGGCTGAGTTCTAGCAGCCTTCAGGTAAATAGCCCCCACTCCACAGCCTCACCCCACAACCTGCAGCAGACCCTCTAGGTGGGAAATGCGCAGCCTGTCCTTGGTTTTAGGGGAACCAACGTGTGTAAATGGTTGGGTGGAAGTTGGAGCCTGGGTTCCCCCAGGTGCTGTGGCTAGAGACTTCATGATCCCCTTCAGGTGCTCAGAGCCTGGAATTTGGGAAGCCTGGTCCTGTGTGTCTGGCTGTTCTTCCTTCTTCTGTATTTCTCAGGTGCTCTGGCAGGCACGTCAGGCCAGCTATCCAGCCCCCCTGGCCCCAGCTCAGCTCCTCTACCTCTGGAGCCTCTTCCCTCGGTTGAGGCTGGGGCCAGGCCGCTTTCCAGAGCTGCTGGTGAGCCTGCAGTCGAGCTTGCAGCTGTTTCAGGGCCCTTCCCTGGCAGACTTTCGCTTCCTTCCCGTCTTTCCCCTTCACCTCTCAGTCTCTATCACTCTGCTCCCCTCTCTCAGCCTGTGCATCTCCCAGCCCACTCCCCAAGCCAAAGGCTCAGGAGTCTGGGTTCCTCTGCCCTGCCTCACCCTCTTTCTGTCTGGGTCTCTTGTTCACCTTTCTTCTTGCTGGTTCTGGGGCCCCACCCAAAGGTCTCTCAGAGATCCTGGGTGGCACTTTCCATCACTGCTGGGATTGGAGGGGTTCCCCTGCAGTGGAAGGGCACTAGGAGTTTGGGGTGAACAGGGAAGGACATTCCTCAAAAACTAAGCTGGGGAGCACAAGACTCAGCTGGCAAGAACAATCCACACATTTCTTCCTTTCTTGACCCACCTGTGCCTCCACCCCTACCCCATGTGCCTGGGAGCCGCACCTCTGCACTGGCACATTAGGGAGAGACCCACTGTTCTACCCCCTGATAGGGGGGCATTGACATTTTAAAAGGAGATAGGATGCTGCTGGAGTTTCTACAATGAGCTTGTTTATCTTTGTAAAGCACAATTAACTGCAATTATTTCTAGGAAGAGTAGCAGTGCTGAAGGAGGCAACTCTAATGGTGAGACATGTGGTTCCTTTGGATGGTGGCAGAGGTGCTAGGGACAGAGTATTGCCCCTCAAATTCCAGTGTTTGAGCCTCTCCTAGATTGCTAGTGGCCTGCAGGCTCAGTCACTGTAGTTAGTCACTGACTCATTTCAGGAAACACAAGATGTCTGAGGCCTGTCTGTTAGTTGTCAGTGTCTGAGGATGCTGCAGGGAGTGGGACCCTCTGGGCTCTAGGGGTGCCCATCGTGAGACTGGAGGTCACCCTGGTGGTGGGGAAGCAGGGGATCCAAGTTGGCTGGGCTGGGGTGACCAGTGCAGGAGATGGGGGAGGCTGCCTATCCTATTAGCTGGCATTTAGCCTCTCTGACATCTGGTTGTCTCCAGCTTGACTGGTGCTCTCTGGGCTCAGGACAGATAGCCTTGGCCTCTGCTGAATCCTTAGTCCCACACCCACTTCGTCTAGTTCAGGGTCCTATAGGTGTGAGCCTGGACTCCTGAAGCCACCTCCCAGGTGCATCCTGGACCCCACCCCCTCCATCTCTGGCAGCATTCCCCTGCTTTGCTTCATCCCTTCCTCTGCTTGGGCAGGGATCCTAGCCAGCCTGTGGAGCTCTAAGGCCACCAGCTCCAGGACTGGTACACCCTGCTAGTATCTTCTTGAGCCTGCGATTCTTGGAGGCCCATAAGGAGGGCTGCTCAGGGGGAGGTTGTGGGTCCAAGGCCTCACTGTAAAGAGGGCCACACAGGAATGACTCACCAGCAGGCTCGGTCTGATGAAATCTTCCAGGTACCTACCAATCAGCTGGTACCAGCAGGCAGCTCCCACCTTGACTCTGGCCTTGGACCAGGGCCAAGAAGGCTTAAAGGAGGCAAAGGACCTGCTATGTAGTAAATCACCAAGAGAACCTAGAAAAAATTACTAGTGTTCAGCCACAGACCGAATGGCTTCAAACCTGGTTCCCAGTGGGCTCCCTATATTTAAAAGGCTTCTAGGAAACCACTAAATTGGGGCAAGAGTGGGGAAAGCAGGCATTGCTGGATGAGAGAAAGGCAGGAGCAAAGGTCTGAAAGTGGCTAATAAGTGGTGATTCAGGGAATGAGAAATGCTTGTTTTTGCAGGGGGTGGGGGAGAGGGGAAGCCAGAAGCAGTGGGATCTGGAGGTGGGGGCAATTTGGGGGTAAAGGGATCAGAGGAGGTAAACAGACCTGGCCAGGACACAGTTGGACCCAACCGGCAGGTGTCCAACCTGATCTGAAAAGCTCCCTCCACCCATAGGACTCAGGATTCTCCTATAGACAGGCTGCCCAAGGGTGAGGCAGGAGGCAGCCAGTGGGGAAGTGCCAGACATGGAGTCGGCAGCCAGCGCAGGAGTGGGTGTCCCCAGGTTTTTGGACAGGCGCTCAGGGACTCCCAATTTGGTGATCTCTTCCCACATGCTTTCCTCCAGAGCTTTCTTGGCTTCTTAGTCCTCTTCCCTCGTAGTTCTCTGTGAATATTCCTTCCCCCTCCCCTTCTCAGATGATTTTGCCACCTCATCCTTCTCTGTTTGCCTCTTTTCTCCCTCCTCTTAGACACCCCTTTCCTGTGCAGTCTTCCCCATCGGGGCCCTCGGAACTCCTTGGCAGTCTCCCTCCTTCCCCTCTCCCCATCTTATCTCCCTCTTCCATGTGCCTATTTCCCTTCTCCTCACAACCCTCTCCCCAGTGGGGCAGGATTGCCCTCTTTTATTTGTCTTTCTTCAGAAATTACCATCCAATCCAGGTATGCTGTTTAAACTAAGGAAGGGATGCCAGAGATGTCGGAGAATCTTCTTAAAAATTTTTCCTTCTTTCTTAACGAGCACAATCCATTCCCTCCTACCACAT